ATGGACCGGTAGACCGGTATGGACCGGTAGACCGGTATGGACCGGTATGGACCGGTAGACCGGTAGACCGGTATGGACCGGTAGACCGGTATGGACCGGTAGACCGGCCGGTCCGGTATACCGGCCGGTCCGGTCCGGTCTACCTTTCTCTAGACCCGCACCGGTACCGGTCTGAAAAAAAGTGGACCGGTTCCATCTCTGGTGTTCTTGGCTACTTTGTCATAATGGTGAATTCTTGCTGTTAGTAACATTGCTTCTAACCCTAGTCAAACATTTTGTAAGCAAGATCTTGGGTACACACTAAGATAAAACGTGTTGCATGTGTCGTGATTTGCAACACAATGCATGATACATTCTGAAGGTACGGTTCGAACCTATCATATAGCGCATTTATTATTTTTTTCTGTAAAAGCATGTTATGATATTTTTTTAAACTTATTTTCATTTTAATTTTTCCTAGCTCGAATAACTGAAGCAAATCAGATCTTGGAATCTGCCTATATCTTGAGATTGTCCGATCTCCATCAGACTTCTTCAGGGTAGTCCTCTCTCGATCATCGATCGAGATCAGCATGTTCTCGAATAATCAATAGTCGAGAAATAGTTTAGAAAAAGTTTTTTGTTTGAAAATGTATGTTTCTGGTGTTCAACCATGCTGTTTATATACAGCTCTGTATGCATAAATAAAAACGGTGAATGACTAGTCAACATATAAACACATCAATAAAGTCGCTTTTTGTTTTACTCAAAATCTTATGAGAAGATAATAGTAAACGATATCTTTTCCATGATCTTGACAAGATTTATCTGATATAATCAAGATATGCACATACAAATTATCTTTTTCAACATCTTATCAAGATTTTGCTTCGATAATATTTAAATAATCCATGACTGCTGGTTCAATATCTGCTCCGTCAATAATTCCATTACGTGTTGGATATACACAAAAATTTTCCATTGATACAAATACATTGATTGAAATACGTAGTGATACAAATGATGTTGATATTTATTATACATTAGATGGTTCAAAACCAGATGCATTTATAACATTAGCAACACGACGTTCGACTATACAATATAAAAAAAAACCATTTTATATACCAAGAGATATAGCTAATACAGGCAAAGTAACAATTAAAGCTATAGCTGTATCACGGTAAAGATATTTGAGAAAACAAAAAAATCAGTTTGAAGAATTTTTATTTTTTTTATTAAAATTTATTTAGTGATGGAATTCGAGAAAGTGTTATAGTAACAAAAATATTTGATGTTAAAATTATTCCATCAGATCATTCATTATCGGATGAATATGAAAATCGATACTTATATGAATTACAACAAGAACGAAAGGTAAAAAATTTCCAAACGATAGATAATAAATAAATTCAATAGAAATTTACTTATCTCATGTTTATTGAAATACTGTATAGAATACTTTTTTTTTATTATGAAATCATACCTATTTTTATATGAAATGTACAATGAATTTGAATCAAGTGAAAGAATATTCTTTTTAGTATTTATTTAAGTAATCTGAAAAAGTATATTTTAGAAAAAGATGAGTTTTCATTAAAAGAAACTATGAATTCGATTTTTGTAGAAAACACATCTGAATACATTGAATCTTTCATAAAATATTACGAAAATAAAATAATCTGTTGGATATATGAGTAAGTTTATGTGTTATTATAAGTGATTAATCAAGATGTTAAAGTTTAATTAGATATTAAATTTTTCAATATAAATATATTTTAGTTTGCAAAAATATTTATCTTTAATTTTATTTAAAAAAATTGATATTCAAGAATGTCTCGATATCTCAAGAGTTCAATTAGAAGATCACTAATATAATAATAGTAATTTAATGCTTGTTTATCGATATTACTTCATTAAAATGTTTTTTGCTATGAAGTTCAAAACCTATCAAAGTCATTGACACATCTTCAATTTTAGTTTTTAAATTTCGACTTGAAATTTTACATAGAGATAGATATTAACGAAAATAATTTATTGTAAATATTTTTCATTTCGCCGATAAGAATATATCTAAAACTTTCATTAGAAACTATTGTCAGTGATCTCAATCTCTGTGAAAAATTCAAATTCGAGATTTGAAAATGAAATATTTCTGAAGAATGTCATAGTATTATCTAAAAAACAATTTGTAAACATACAATTAGTAAAGCAATCGAACTTTTTTCTACATATTTAATTCAGTTAAATATTTATTACTTGATTTTATAATTTTACTTCAATAGGAATTAATAAGAAAGATGCAAAATGAAAATGAACAAATGCAACAAAAATTATCTGGTATCAAAAAAAAAAAAAAGTAATTTTATTTATTATTAATCAAATTTCTATATAGAATCAATGCATCGTTCAACAATTGATTCATTTGTACAAGAAAATCCAACTAATTATACATATTCAAATTCTCAAATACAAACAAATGTTTTAAGGTTTATCGAAACAAAATTATTTTATTATTTGAGCTTTGTTTTTTCTTTTCCAGATATGCACATTGTTTTGCACCTAAATCAAATGATTTATATACACGATCTTGTACGGAATGTGGTCTACCTTGGCAAAAACTAACTCATAATCCACCGGATAATTATTCAGTAATTCAAAATAATTCTATCGGATATGATGACTACCCTTCATTTGAAAAAAAGAAACTACCTAATCCCATTCTGTTGAACAACTCATAGTTATTTACGAAATTATTTTTTCATAAAAGTCATTATACCAGCTAAGATATATAAGAGCAACGATGAGTAATATGATCTCAAAAATAACCTATATCTGACATATATATATGAGTCTTTCGAAAACAGTAAAAAAACGTTTTTCTCTTTCAGAATCTTGATAAAGCTATTAATTCTTATAAGAAACCCGAACATATGTTGAATGTGATAGAACTAGATATCCGAATCACATTCGATGTTCTGAAGCCTAAAAACAAAAAGAAAAGTCATATATTTTTCTATTCTCAGGAATCACACTTATAGAACACGGAAAAATTTGCATAGTTGGTTGCCTTTGTCCTCGACAGTCATATCTTACAACACCCATCATTGCTATAATACCTGTTAACCAGTAACCCTCCCCCCAGAATAAAAGTGCATGCCCTTATACAGTGTCTTGGCACATCGCTACTTTTTGGATGGCCTTTTTATTGGGGGTCAATTTTTGGTCAGTTTTTAATTAAAATCATTTAAAAAATGAATAATTAATTAATAACTTTAATTATTGTTTTTTGCTGAAAAAACTACCATTTTTTGTAAAAACTGTACTAATTATGATAGGAAAGGAAGGATTTAGCAAAAAAGCATTAGAAAATCGGTTATATTTCCTTAATTATTAATTAATATATATAAAAATTTCGATAATTTTGAAATATATTAATTAATTAGTACATGGCCTTCTAATATAGGGTGGCCGTCTATATTTGGGGAGGGGGAGGGTATATGACTTTTCAGAACTGTAAAATTTGATAAAGAGTATATCCTTTGACGGATCATGTATTGTTCTACATAACAGTATTGATTACTTTACAAATGAATAGTAGTTATCTTATTTTACACGGATAATTTTTCTTTAATTAGACTAATATATGTACAAATTGTAAATCTACTATTCCACTTAATTCTAACACATGTGTTGTATGTGAAACACCAGTATCCAAAGAACCACAGCAGCGACCAACTTCTCAAAATCAGGTTTCACAAAAATTAATCAAATTTTAATGTTCCTCTCTAGACAAGAATTCTATGTCCTCATTGTAAATCAACAAATCCCATACATTTACGAACATGTTATATTTGTGAAAATGTATTAATACCAACATCGACATCACCAATAAACAAAAAAATATCTTATTTATTTTTTCCGTATTTATATTTCAATAGGAAAAATGAACTTCAATTTCAATTCCAACAATATCAAAAAAAACTAATACAATGATGATAACATGTTCAAAATGTTTTCGTTTAAATAATCCTAATGCTCGTTTTTGTGATTGGTGTAGTGCATATCCTGATCATGCATCTACATCAATACAATGTACAAAATGTCATACTAATAATGATTCATTTGCAAAATTTTGTTCAACATGTGGATGTGTTATTGAACCACCATTACGTATTATTGATACACGTCTTAAAAATAATTTGAATATTTCATCTTCATCAATGATTGCTAGTGTATATTAAAATTAAAGAATAAAAAATAAAAAATAAAAAAATAAAACGATTCTTATTTTCTATAGACATTAACACGTAATTCAGTTAATCCTGTATGGCTTAACGCAAATACAACATTAACTAATTATCATCAATCATATTCAACAATTAAAAAAGAAGTTGCAACACAAACATATGGAATTTATTATCCAAGTGCAAAAGATATTGATTTAATTATAACACAAAATAAAAAATTATTAA